AGCTATAAATAACCTATTAATTAGGAAACTCGGATTGCATGCTTGCAATACATATTTTATTATATTTTATTAATCTACAAAAATTCATATTCTTTTTTAAAAATTATTTGCAGGTTCATAGAAGAGTTGTCTGCATAACTGACAACAATAATAATGAAATTAAAATAACTTTGTGGGGGAAATATGCAGATAATTCAGAACTAGTTGTTGGATCAATAGTTGTTATTAAATATATCCATGTTACTAATTACAAAGGTTGAAAAATATTTAATATGTATTTATTTATTTGTAAGTGATTGATTATATATATATGTATTATTTTTTTTCCTAGTTGCTATAAATCTAACATCATCACCATGGACCATAATCCCCTTTTATTACAAGGAACAGAACAAATATTAAATTGGTATTGCTAAATATCACATTTACTTAATTTATCAATTAATTGATTATAATTTTATAATTCTCAGATTATTATTGTTGTTTTAGGAATGACATAGATAATATCAATGGTGCATCACAATTAGAAATAAATTCATCAATCATTTTAAAAACACTTGGACCAATTAATATAATTAAGGTTCAAAAAAAAAAAGGAAAAGGAAAAGAACCAAAGTCAGATCGGTATTACTAAATTTTATATTAATTGATTGGTTTGATTATAATGTTAATAATTTTAAATTAATTAAAAATAATTCTTATTAGGGTCTTTAGGAACAAGACTTGTGAATCTAATAAAGACTAGTGCCATAATCCAAAAAAGGAAAAAGTATGGTTGCAAAAGTGGTCACAAAGGTAATTGTGACCACTTTTTATATGCTGTAAATACAATTACTACCATCACCATAATTTACGGCACTAGTCTTTAGAATCTAATGAAGAATTGTTTAAGTCAGATGATTTTAAGCTATTGGAAAAACCAGCTCTGTTGGAGATTCTTAAAAAGGATGATTTTTTTGCTGATGAAATAATTATTTGGGAAAATATTCTTAAATGGGGATTGGCAAGACATCCAGAAATCAGTGATATTAATGTCAAAGAATGGGCATTACAAAATTTCATTGATTTAGGGAATACAATGAAAGAATTTCTTTATTTAATTCGATATCAGGATATTTCCAATGAGGATTTTTTTGATAAAATTGTACCATACCAAACACTTTTTCCTAAAACTTTATGGGACAATTTTTTACAATATTATATAGTTCCTGATAGAAGATCAACATTAAATTTATTACCATCAAGAAAACCAAACAATCAATCAAAATCTCATTAAAATCTCATTAAAATCTCATTAAAATCTTATTACTTGTAAAAATTTTATTTTTAAATTAAAATGATTTAAACTCTTCTAGTGCTGTGAGTGAATGGATAATCAAGAGAATCAATTTTTTATGACATTGTAATGACTTTTTGTAAATGTTATTTCAACAATGGTTTTGACTAACATAAAATTCTGAAAATTCTGTCTATTAGGCACTTGTGATAATGAGTGGTATTTAAAATAGTATTTTGATTAATGAATATAAACACTTTTGATTGTTAACATCAGTGATTAGGTTCACTTAACCAAACTGCTATGACTTCAATAACTCTTGACCTTATCAAAATACTTTTGCACATTGATCACCATATTCAGACCTAAAATTTCTAAGGTGTCTTTTGCATAACTTTTTTTAAAATGGTGATTGCATGCAACTCATCATTCTAGTTAAGTTCTCCAGTCCTTCTGTCTTCATACATTGATCAACTTGCAGCAGTAGTAGCAATAAAAAAGATTCAATTTTGTTTGTAACAAATTGATATAAAATGCTACCCACAAAAGAGAATCAATAGATCATTTATATAAGTGAAGAAAGATTGGGCCCACAAAAGAATTTTAAATCATGCACAAACCCATTACTCTCAATAAGATTACAAATGAATTCAAACAATAGCTTTATTGATGTAATGCCACAATTGGTGTTCCATGGAATTACCCTGCTATTTTAAATATATAACTAATTACATATCTTTGTTAAAACAAAAATAAAACAAACAAACATGACTTAGCTTTTTATTACTATTTAATCCTTTCCTTGAACATGAATGCCTTCATATATTACATGTCTATTACAATGTTTATGATGACTATGCAATATATTAGATGTTGTTATTGAATGATATTATTGACATAGCAAACAATAAATAATAATATTACCAAGGTCATGCAGAAATGAACCTTTAAAGAGCTGATTTCAAAACAATGTCCAGGTCTCTAGGATTCACAAAAATAAAAATTTTTGTATAGTTTCTTAAAAACCTTGATGATAATCACAAACATTCAGTGCTATGCAATTAAGCACTTTTCAGCATCACAGAACTCTTTTCCTACCCCATTTAAAAAATAATAAATTCGGTTATCAAATAAAAATTTATCAAGAAACAGAGAATTTAGGAAAATAATTAATTTATATGGGATGTACCAAATCTGAATTATTTTATTTATGGCTTTCCTCTTAATACCAGAAATCATGGTGACAAAGTACTTGAACATGGAAGATATTTTTGAAAAAGAAAGAACCCAAATGCAATTTCAATGAATTTCAGAATCACAACTCCACTCTGAATTGCATCCTCCTGAGCTTGAAACAAGCTACAACTTCTCAGTCACAGAGTCAGTCAACCTTATCCTAGAAATTGGATAACTTTTCAACTAACATGCTTATCTAGGTAATAATTCCAGTCCAGGTGCTGCAAGGATTCATTGAAATGTCTTTGGCAATGATGCAGTTTCTATAAACCCCAGACCCATGTTACCTTCTGAAATTTAATTGCATCATTATATCTTTGGGTACTTCAACATCTGCAAATTTCTGATGACCAAATGTTGCATATTGTATTTTTCAAATCGTCTAGGGGCCATTTCACATCTTCAACAGTTGTGTTGTCTTTTTACACTTGACATTTTCTTATAATTATACACTTAATATTAATAATGGTTACAAAAAGCAATTCACCAATAATTCATTACGATAAAGAACCTTATAATAAATACCTATAAAGCTTGCACCGCGTTTTAGTTTCAATAAGATAAAAAAAAAAGCACACATGGTTATTAAGCACCACTCTTCTTCGAACCATACTATACCAAATGGCATCGTCTCGTCGTCTAAAAAAAAAAAATCGCGTCCCCAAAAAGATAAAATAAATAAAAATGGGGCTTCTTTTTGTACAACAACAAACATTGCATCTTAAACAAAATTTTTTTCGCATTTCGCGTTTTAAAACAACAAGGAAGCATCAAAGAAACATTTGAGTAAGAAGATGAATAAATATTATCAAAATGCTTGGAATGAGAGCTATTCTGGTTTAAAAGTAATATTAATACACACTTCTCCAGAATAATTAACCAAATCGCCAGATCTTTGGTTGATTGAAGAGGAGGATGGCAAAGCATTGTATATGACGATACTCAAGTTGGATTTGGAGAACGAAAAATACAATGGAGAACATTACCGTATTTTATGTTTATTAACACAAACAGTTTTCTCAGGTTCAACCAACCACACTATTTTTCATTCTACACCAGAAAATTTGAAAGGTAATTATATAGATTATATAGATTATTTTAATATAGATTACAATATATAAACTCAATTAATTCTACATATTTATTAACATAAAAAGAATTAAAATGATCAAATCTTGGACAACTTCATTAATCAATGAAATCAAAAATGATTGACTTTTTTAAGAAAGGACAACCATGTTTATAAAACTTTTTTGTATTATTGAATTAATGCAACATCATGTTTTTCTGTATTTATTTTAATACAAAGTAGAAGATCTGTAAAGAACCAAAAAAAAAAAGATTACACAATGAGTGTCCTTTATAATTAATTATCTTACATAATAATAGATCATTTCGACTTTCTGCCATTTTAATGAAAACTTTGGTTTGACGTAATAAGAATTATCATTGTACCATCCGGAAGATGTAGTTTCTTAAATAGTGAAATAGTAGACAAATTATCTACATCAATCATTATTTCTTGGAATGGATTGATGAAATTTGTTGAAGATTTTCCAATCCAATCTTGAATTGCATTGATAAATTTGATTTTTTTCTACAAAGATGTCAATTTCAGATAAAAACAATCAATGAATTGAGAACCAAATTTAAATTGATTATTTGTAAATTTATATTGTTGAGTTGATCTTTTTCAATTAAACATGCATGACATGGATATCGAGCATTTGAAGATTTAGATGTACAACAACACTCTGCTGCTTCCAACCCATTTGAGAGAATGAGCGCAGGAAAAAGAAAAACATGTTCAAGTTTACTAAATTCCAGATTGGTATTTTTGAATTAGTGGTCCAAAAATTATATCCGAGCACTGATGGAAAAGTTACCATATTTTTAAATGAAATAATTTTGATTTTTTTTTCTGATTCATCTTGAGCTTTTAATACAAGCAAAAAGTTTTTTTATTGTATATTTCCCAAAGTTAACAAATGATGGATGCCACCAATTAGTCTTTGTTTTGTGTTCGAGTAAAATATTATTGCTATTACAATTGAAGTGTTTGGTATTGTCATTTCAACTGATTTTCACCAAGTGCAATTGTTCAATCCAGCATAACAAATCCTTTATTACCAATCTAATTAAAATAGTTAAATTATTATTTTATATTAAATAAATGGATAAATTAATACAGTAAATAAGTGAAAATAAAATTACGTAATATTCCTCATAATAATAAAGAAAATTTTGAGTTAACTCCTGTTTTTTTTTTCAACAACAGAGAGACATAGTTGATCTATAATTCAAGCAGTAATTTTTATTATTATATGAAAGAATTAAAAATTTTTTCATGAAATGAATGATATGATATTCACCTCCATTCATGACTAATTTTTGTAGAGCTTGGCAGCAGATTATCTTCACGAAAAGAATGCTCTTTAAAAAAACTCGGTTATAGCATTTCCTACCGTATCATTTAAATCAGATTTATCTACAATATTAATGAAACCTTTATATACCGGATTTGGGAAAGGTCGATAATTGCAATTAAATCATCAGTTGCATTATCTTCCAAATCTGAATCAGTTAAACTATCATTCAAACATGGTATTGAATAGTTATTTATTCTTATATAATTGCCCACTTCAATTAATTTTTCTTTTTTTCTTTTAACTCCCATACAAGCATCATCTTGCAAAATATTGCTTTTGAAAATAAAGGGCTTTGGATTTGTGTACGATCATGATAAAAAATTTAAATGTTGATCAATAAAAATTTTTCGCGTAAAAGTCGTTTATTTAGAAAAAAAATTCTAACAGCAAAAATATATTCACCAACACCAACAGTAATAATAAATCCAATTACAATAATAATAGTTGAAGAAGTAATCGATTATTTGAAAAAAGCAATGATGTCACAAATTAAAATTTACCAATATCTGCCTGACATCTTTAAAAAAAACATACCAAAACATTCCTAGAGATTTAGAATTCCAACGAAACAGGTATTAGGTTATTTTGTCATGTAAAAAAGTCTTAAAAATTAGTTTTTACAAATGGCATATAAAACATATTAATATACATAGGTGAAATAAAGTGCTATGGGCTAAAATGCAAGAGAATGGAGTGATACAACTAAATTGATTTACTACCTGTTGAAGCATTGTAATTGAATAAATTATAGTTTATTATCATTATATTTGCTTTAGTGTTATTAACCCTATTACTACTATTATTATATTTAAAAATATAATAGCTTATTGAAAGATGAGCAGACATAAGGTTATTTTTGAATATCTGATGATAATGAATTCCAAATGATGAATTGTTAAGATAGCAGGTGGTATTCAAAATAAAAATAAAAATATAGCGATTTTCTTTAAATCAATTTTTAACACAAATCATATATATATTAAATAAATGAAAAAATCTTTTAAAGAAATCCACAAAGTATTTTTTATTATGTAGAGCATTACACCGCCTCACCTAATTCATATTATATAAATATAGAGAAGGCCATCATCTTATAATTATTAATTGATATTATTATATATGATTATATTATGATTATATGATTATATGGTATTATTATATATGATTATATGATTATATGATTATTTTATATTTATTAATACAAAAAAAAAAAATTAAATTAATTATTTTCGTTTGCTTGAGTGAAAATAGCAAGTCTGATTGTTAATAAAGAAAGAGCAAATGAAATTATGGAGATGTTTGCGATTTCAAGTTTGCTAGATTTTGGAAAGTATAAACGTTTTCTTGAATAGATACTTAGACAATGAGTGTCAAGATAAATATAATATATTATGGCACCATATGTTAAACAATAACTAAAAACAAATAAAATTGTTCTACAAAAAAAAAAAAAATATAAATAAAATTTATTAGTTTATTATCATTATCATTATTACTATTTTTCTTTCTTTGTTGTTTAAATAAAGAACTTACGCGTTTAAACTTGTAACATCAAGTGTTATAAATATATTTCCAATAATATGAGTGATGGCAGCAAATATCAACAACCATAATTGATTTGGATGTGAAAATATCTTTGGTAAATACGAATATTGGTTTAATTCTGATTCAGTTAGTTCCTCTAAATCTTCATTATCATCTCCCAAAATTCTATTTCTTAATTTTAATTCATGACCAGTATGAAAATAAATTCGAAAAAATTCTATAATTAAAGCCCAATCAAAACAAAGTCCTAATAATCAATGATAATTTATCAGTTAATTAAAAATAATAATAATTATTATTAAAAAGTTTCTTTTTCCGAAAAAGAAAATCTTTTTAACCTTGTAATTTGAAAAATACCACATCAACAGGATATTCAAACATAATTATACAATAACCCATTGTTAATGTATAAATGATTAACCAAAGATAAAAGTCTAAAGATTTAATTTTTCCACCAGAACCAATCAACACCAAAATAACAAATTCAATTGAATTATGTAATAAAGCAAAGACTCCACATAATTTCCCAATATCAAGAATAGAAGCAAAAGTTGTTGCTATGAATGTAACGTATGTGTAAACTTCTAATATTTTATTAAATTCTTGACTTGTTACTGGTGGTAATGATGATAATTCATCTGATGACGTTGTTGATGATTGATAAATAAGTGTAATCAAATATTCATTTTCCGGGCGATTTTTTGTCCATCTATAACCAAGATATGAACAAATTCCTGTAAATACAATTGTAAATAAAAATATTGAATCAAGTGAATTTCCATCATAATCTAAATAAATTTAATAATTTAATAATTAGTATTATTTATAATAATAATTTTCAAAAACAAAAAAAAAGAAGACTACCTTTAAGTTCAGGGTGCCATGTCGGATAACCTGTTGTACGAGATTTTGATGGCTCAGGAAATTCGATATCTTTATCAACAAATGTAAAACTAAAGAATGTAATAAATAAAATTATTAAAAAACTTACTAAAGTGCATGGTTTATTTAAAATTGAAATCATTTTTTTTGAAAAAAATAAAAATAAAATAAAAATTAAGAAAAGATTATAAACTGATATTTATTTCTTGCCTTTATAAAAAAAAACCAGATAATAAACTTGTTTTTATTGTTTATTTGTTACTCACTGATTGATTTCTTTAAGATAATAATAACAAATATCTATAAAATTAAGGAAATGGATTTAAAGATATATATCGCCTGTCTAAAACTAATGCAGAATGCTGACAACTCAGGGTTGGAAATAGACTGATCCATTGAGACTAATGAGTCTTGGTCTGGTCCATGCTATATATTAATAAATACTAATATGGTTAAACTGTTACACCAATGGATCCAATGGATTGGATGGATGGTAATGGTTCATTCGTTGCAGAGTTACATATTAAAAAACTTGAGAGCGATGTTCATTATTGCAGATATCAATACATTCATTGTCTGGATCTTTACAAGTCTTGGAATGTGACAGTGAGATGGATATTAATATCATATTGTGAAATCTCTTGCAGAAATGAATTGTGATCATGATGTTTCTGGTGCAAAGATAGCATAATGGTTTTTTTTTGCCTGTCATAGAGACATCAATATCATTTAAATAACATTTGATTTTACATCTTAACAAAATTTTCCGAGTTATACAAATGGTACGTATATTTTACTTGTTTATTATATATGCACATATTTATTACAGATCACACCTGATGAGCTATTAGATGAACTTGAAATTTATTAAAATTGACAAAGTTCATCAAAGAGACAACGTGTAGACTACTTACATCATTACTTGTTGAATTTCTGGTTAATACTAAGTAAAAAGACAAAGTTTATAAATAAACTAGAGCTTGAACTAAGCGATAACAGCTATGATAATACTTGCTCGTTTCGAATTGATGTTTGTTTTTTCTTTCTATCTGTACCTTGTTTAAACATATTTAAAAATTTTTTTGATAAAAATGAAAAATTAATATTTTAATATGAAAGTATGATTCATTTCTATTACACTGGCTTGTCATATGTCTCAGAATGAAATGAGATCACACTGTTATTGATGTTGATGGGATGAATTTAAATGAATGAGAAATGGGAAATTGTGAACAATTTGACAATCACTGTAATAAAAATTTGAAATTTTTTAATAAATAATTAATTCTGGTTAGATTTTTGCATACAATAACATTTTTCTAATTACATATATAGCATTAATGATAATAAATTAAATAGTAATTTTTAAATTTTTATAATAATAAATATTAATATTATTTTCCTCTTTTCTTCTTCTTCTTTCTTTCTTTCTTCATCTGATAATATTAACATTCAAGAATTGGTCCAGTAGCAAGAACTTCTGGTGTAGTCTCTTCTTGATAAATTTTAAAATTTTCAATGAAATGTTTAGCAAGCGAATCTCTGGTTTTTACGAATTCTTCTTTTGGTCCCTTCCAAGTGTTTTCTGGATTTAATATTTCGGATGGTACCCCTGTAACTGTTGTTGGAATCTTTAAATTGAATACTTTGTAATTTTCATACGTTGCGTTTGCAAGCTCACCGCTATGGATCGCGTCAATTATAGCTCTGGAATACTTGAGTTTAATTCTTTCCCCAACTCCATATGCCCCACCACTCCATCCTGTATTAACTAGCCAAGCATCAGCTTTGTGTCGTTCCATTTTATCTGCCAACATATGTGCATAACGAGCTGGATGCAAGACCAGGAATGGTTGACCAAAACATGCAGAAAATGTTGCTTCAGGTTCTGTGACTCCGTCTTCTGTGCCTGCTATTTTCGCCGTGTAGCCGGAAATAAAATGATACATTGCTTGTGCTGATGAAAGTTTTGATACAGGTGGGATCACACCATAAGCGTCACAAGTCAAAAGAATGATGTTTTTTGGATGACTAGTTGACATGCAAGGTATCTTGGCATTTGGAATGTATTCAATTGGATAAGCACAACGTGTATTTTCAGTTAATGAGTTATCATCGTAATTGACCACACGAGTATTTTCATCATAAACAACATTCTCCAATACCGAACCAAACTGAATTGCGTTGAAAATCTCGGGTTCTTTTTCCGGTGATAGATTTATACATTTTGCGTAACAGCCACCCTCTACGTTGAAGACATTGTTGTCAGACCAACAATGTTCGTCATCACCAATCAGAAATCGGCTTGGATCAGCTGAAAGTGTTGTTTTTCCTGTACCAGATAATCCAAAAAATACTGATACATCACCACCTGGGCCTTCATTAGCAGATGAATGTAATGACAATACATTATGTTTTACTGGCATCAAATAATGCATAACTGTGAAACTATACAATATATAAATATGAAAGAGAATGTAAACATGTAAATAATCTAATTTTAAATAATAATATTACACATACACTCTTTCTCAAACAACAATAATGAATGCTACTTACACTCCCTTTTTCATTTCGCCAGCATATTCAGTTCCTAAAATCACCATTTCATTTAATTTAAAATTAATATCAACAGAGGTTGTTGATGTCATACCAGTAGTATAACGATTCGCAGGAAAAGCACCAGCGTTGTAAATAGTGAAATCTGGTGAACCATAATTTTCTTGTTCCTCAAGAGTAGGACGAATCAACATATTTCTCATGAATAAGGCGTGATATGCACGAGCACATACAACACGAACTTTAATTCTATATTTAGGATCCCATCCAGCAAAACCATCAAATACATAGATTCTTTTGCGTGTATTTAAATAATCAACTGCTCGTTCACGATTAATAAGGAAAACTCTTTCTGGTAATTTAGTATTTACAGGTCCCCACTATAATGTGATGATGATGAACGAATGATTAGATGTGATATAGTCGAGGAATCTATGATTATTATTAACTTACCCAAATATCCTTGGTTGAACCGGGCTCATCGACAATACGTTTATCTTTAGGAGAGCGACCAGTTTTATTACCAGAGGCAGTTACCAAAGCGCCACTTGAAGAAATGGCAGATCCCTCTTCATATTTCAAGGCATCTTCATATAATTGAGCAACAGAAGGATTCCATTTGATTGCAACACGATCATAATCAATATGAGCGTTTGCATGAAGTTCCTCTTCTATTTTTGTATGAGGTTGATGAGTATTATTTGATAAAGTCATTTTTTTTAATTAAATTTTTTTAGAATTATTAAAAACCTTGAAGCCAAGGTTTACTTTATATATAGCATTCATGGTTTTTTAATTTATTCATATATATACATAATAATAATTAATAATTATATGAACTGATTTTTTACATAAACTCATTAGTAATATTTCTATTCATGTGAATATTTTAGTCGATCATGATGTAAATATGGGAAATCTCACTGATGAGATTGGGTGATAGTAACAAGAAAAAGGTGATGAAAATCATTCCCACCATTCAATAAAAAATTCCTTAAATTGCAATTGGTTTTTTTTTACATTGTATGAATTGTTACGAGGAAAAAAATGATTGAAATTTTGTTAAACGCACCGCCACTTATCCTTAAGAGTATAAATTAAATATCCATATAATTTTAACATGGTGGTTAATCATTTTGTCACTACTATTGTTATTGTTTATTTTTAGATATGACATCTTTTGATTTGGACTAGTCTTGTTCTGGATGCCCTTCTACCATTTCGGATCCTTGTGCAAAGCATCGTTGAACCGGGTGATTATTTGACCTGAATTGTCTGAATCCAAAATCCGTAAGCCGTGCGACTCGCGTTTGTCATCCTGGACTGACTCTTCATCAAAATTAATTAATTGTTTTTCCAAAAAAAAAAAATAAAAACATTTGTGTCTATATTGATATTTTGATCCTCAATTCATATATGAAATTATTTTTCCTTCCCAATAGTTTCATTTCCATAAATCCGATATTAATCACAGGTATCAGATTTAGTTAATTTTCCTACCACAAACATGGAACAAGGTGCTGTGAAATTATTTCCACAGGTGAGGTAATCCAAACATTCTGGAAGGCTTGGACAAGCAACATGTAGAAATTCTGAATTTCTACCCGATAAACAACATTCTTTGAAAATGATGCAGTTTCAATAAATTCCGGGCCTTGGGTCCTCCCCTGGAATTTAGTTGTATCATTGTATCATCGAGGGTAGCGTATTCAGATTAGCCTTGTCTACACGAGGAAAAGATAAGAATAACTGTAATTTTTCAGATATCCAGATGTTGAAGTATTGAAGCACATATGGATGCTACTTTGTAATTAAATGTTATACATTGAAATATTTCTCAAATCATCTAGGAGCAGTTTTCCTTCCATCTTTAACAATCGTGTTACTTTTCTTTTATCCTTGACATCTCTTATAATTAATTATTATTATTTAATATTAATAATGATCATGAAAAGCAAAATGATACCAAACATTTATTATCTTGATAAAGAACCTAACAGTAATTGCCTAAAAGCCATGATACACTTTGATTTTGATAATATTTATAATACAGTCAAACCTCTCCACAGCGACGGATTCATGAAATTTATGTAAATTTGCACACGAAATTCAAATTGACTAATCAGATTTTCGTATTCAAACACCCCAAAATTCTAATTATAGATTTCAATTTCACATACTAATACTAATACGTTACTATAAAAAAGGGGCCAATATTTACAGTTTCTCAATAATAATTGAATGAAAATAGATAAAATATCAAAAGAAAGCTGAAAATCAGAAGTCTCTATTAGTATAAATTTTATATGAAACTTATTTTTAATTGTTTTTAATATTAGGCAGCGAAGTCTAATTATGTTCCATTTAAAAATTCAATTATAAAAATCAGCAAATTCATTTCTCACTAATTTGCCAAATGTCATTCCAATTCTTTGGAATTTTTTGCTCTATGTCTTGCTTAACAAACTCACCAAAAATTTTGAAGTTTCAATATATGAACATTGTTGAATAATCAGCACATAACTAACAGCATATTTTTAAGTTGAATTCTTCAAGAATAAATTTTTAGCTTAAAATAATTGACTTTCAAAAATCCCGATTTAAATCAAATCAGCATTTTAATCTTTGCGATAAGTTCTCTATATAGAATGTAGTGGCAATTGGCTGCTAGAAGGAACAAAAAACATTCCTTTTCTAAATTGCACAAAAATTTCCAGTATTTTTTATTACACACTGTAAATCCGTTGTAACAAAAAATCCGCTGTGGTGAGGTCCGTTGCAACGAGGTTTGACTGTATTATATCTACAGTCAACCCTCCATAAGTTCATCCTATGCCTCATTCCCAATCTCAGTACTTAAGAGATAATTGCATCCCTCCATAAATACACTACATGGTCTTTTCCTAATCCCATTCATATAAAACCACCTCTCTAAATGCACGCCCGTAACTTTTACGTGACCAATGTGCAGCAATAAACAAAATTTATCGTGTTACATTAATTATTTTTCATCGATATTGTATATTAATTTACTTGTAAAGAATTAAATGAATGTTTTACTAATTCTTTCTTTTTAATCAACATAAAGTTATTATGCAGGTGAAACTTATAGGCAAAATTGTTAAGAATCACACAGAGAATAAAGAGTCAATTAAATAATTGTTAATCATAAAGAATTAAATATTGACAATGATGACAATGATGATAGAATTGAACCAGTAATAATAAGTGCTGATGAAACTTCTAAATTGTCTATGCTTTTTACTACAACAAGAAAATACTAAAGAACAATTAAAACAAACTAATGCTCTTGTTTGATACATTAATTAAAAAAAAAATTAAAAATTTTTAACACAATATCCCGCAGCCAATAAGATTCCCACCCTCCATAAATGCACGCTCTTATCCATTCTCAAGGGTTGACTGTATCTGCATTCGTATGAACTTCGTTTAATTCACCATAAGTTAAACGATCGTCTAATTGGTTCGTATATATATCAATTTAAACCATGAACTTCTTTTATTCTTTCTCGGCCTTGTTGTGCTAGTCCACAATCGAGTACGCGTTTGAGATTGTAGAACTTTCATCATTGATGAATCTTTGAAAATCAGGATGCGCCGATATCTTTCTTTAACTAGAATAGCTATCAAGCAACCATACTCTGACGATGCTTGTTATAAATTTCTTTAGGAATAGATATTTCACTGTTTTGGATATTTTTGATTAAAGATGACATTTTTAAAAAAAATTAGAATAACGTCACTTTTTTAATAATACCTATAATGGTGAGTGGCGATAACCACCACCATTATTCTTTTAATACTTACTCTTCTCTATTATCTTTTGGTTCATTTCTTTTTTCTTGTTGCCTTGTAAAGACATTCTTATTTAATTATAATAAAGAGAATAAAAGAAAAAGAGATTTTGATAATGATTAGCAAGGCGCATCGACAACATTTTATGGTACAGTCAAACCTCGATAAGCCGAACTACTATAAACTGATTTTTGCTTTATAATGATGCAAATTGATAATAATTAATATAATTATCTTGTTAAACCGAATTTTAATATAATCTGATAAACTGAACTTAAAATTTATTATAAACCAATTTTTAAAATTCATCTTATTAATATTGATTATAATAATAATTGTAAATCATCCATCATAAACCGAATATTGAAACTATGTGAATCGAAATTTATAATGGGGCGGGGTGTTTGGATATGAAATTCTGATTGGCTAATTTGAATTTCACATACGTGAATTAACAAATTCACAGATTTCATTTTCACGCACAACAATTCCAAAAAGTTCAGCTTATTGAGGTTTGACAAACATTTGGAGACCATTACTATTATGAACATTTTTGTCTTAAAAAAAGTTTTTTTGTTATTGCAAAAATGCGCGGAGACTTGGGCAAAATAACTTATATTGTATGGTGCAAAAGGAAAAAAACTTCTTGGTCTGTTTCAATTTTTTTTATTCCTTTTTTATTAATTATTCTATATATGCCTTTTGTTTCTATAATTATTGTAGTTGTATATATATACACACACACATAACTGACAAGTGAATTAATTATTATTTGTCATAAAGACTTTATTAACATAAGAAAAAAATCAAATTCATTTAAATCTAATATATGTATGTTTTTCTTTTGTGTGAAGGTTGAAATGATGTTTCCATACATTTCAAGGAAGCTGCCATATTATCATGCGCACTAAGGCTTTCCATTAACTATTCTATAACCTCATTTTCTTAACAACCATTCAACATGATATCTTAACCTACAGATTCTGCTCAAAGTTTAGGATTATTGGAATGCCAAAATAATCATTTTGATTTATAGTCAATGTATCCATAATCACCAGAACAATTTACTTTATGAGGAGCTATGCCTAAAAATTTCTTATCATCCGCTTTTAGATCATTCCAAATTTTGGTTGCCACAGATTCAGGCCTTTGCTCATAATTTCTCCAAGTTTGTTGTATAATCCTTATATGCTTAAAATCGGTTTTAGGTCTAGAACACTCATGATCCCCATGATTCTGCATCAGGTCTTTGGGTTCAACAATCTTTGATAACCATAGTCAAACACTTTCCTAGACTTTACATTCACATTATCTTCCAACAGATCGCAGTTCCATTCTTGTGTGGTTTTGGTCTGTAGTAATTGTTGCGATTATTGTAATCTACAAGCCTACTTCCAGGATAAGAAGCAAATAAGCAATATCTATGATATGTGCTAAATTTATTCTTGCTTAATAAATCTTGAATATTGGCTCTTACCTGTACAACCCACTGAATAAAATTCCAACGCTGTTCACAATAGACAAGTTGTCATATGATCTTTCAATCTCAAAGAGTTTCTCAAGTCGTTTACCATCATGATGAATATAATTGTGGATGTATGCCATGACATACTTCATATCATATCCAAAACGGTTATTAAAGGGTTTTGGTAATGGTCTTTTTTTGTTACCAAGAATAATATGATATCAAAACCAGACATGTTTGGTGGTTATAATAAGTTTAATGATTTATATGTGATTTTATCAACATATAGTTTAAGTATACACAATTCATTTTTTTGTGTGAATTTGTTATTAGAGAACAATTTCAAGAATTCATCTGGGCCAAGAAAAAGATATATATGTTTTTTTTTTTTTAACATTAAATTAAATTAAATAAAAACATTCTTACATTAAAAGAAATTCATATTTTGAAATAAAATCTTTTTACCTAATTATCAATAAAGCAGCTTTAAAATACAAAAAGTGGCTTTAAAAATTTGTCTTATCCAACTTTAACAAAATTGTTGGTGAATTGGATTTTTATAAAGTATATTAATATGTTATATTTAGTATTTCTAAAAATTAAATTTATATTATAACATTTGAAGTTGCAATAATTAAATATCTATATATCCTAATTTATATACTTCATATTCTTCTAGCAAATAAGCATATTTCTTTTTATTTTCAAGATCCAAATTCTTTTCATAATTATCATTATGTTTATAATAACAATAAGGTTCATTATTAATACTGTTGCGTGTTTCTAAATCATTAAAGTCTATTAATCTTTCATGAAATCTTACATTATCATTGGTTGCATTAATCTTTTCTGGGTTATGGTATATTGCCCATTCAGGTTTTTTGACTCTGCTTAATAATGAATTCTTAATTTGGTTTTGATCAATTTTGAAAATAAAACTTTTGTCTGTTTTAATATGATAATAATGATGCGAGGATTTTCCTTTTAAATTCCAACAGACTGGATTATACCCTCCAACCAATTCACCTGTTTCTTTAATTTTCATGATGACAACTGTTTGTTTGATGTTATAGCATTTCTCCTCAAAAACTGACCTTGAAAATCCATCTTGGGACCCACTGAGAATTAAATCAAATTTATATGGCAACTTGTTTATATTATTTAAGTCATATGTTTGATTAATCCAATTAAAAATCAAAGATTTTATTTCTAAACTTAGTAATTTTCCCTTTCCTATCCTTGGACCTTTTTGAATTAATAAACTTGGTTGCCATTCAGCATTAAGATAATATTTAAGGAGTTCTACATATAAATCTTGATTAGATGCTTCTTTAAAAAATTTTGTAGGAGTGATTTGATTGAATCTTATTAATGGAACAAGATCATTTAATATATTTTTCAATTTATTAAGATCTTCTTTATTCCAATTTGAAATATTTTTTTTCAACTTTTTATCTTGTCCCATTCCCCATTGAATGACATAACCCCAAAGATCAATTTCCTCTAATTCTAAACTATCTCTTTCTAATATAGACATTAGCATTGGTTTTTCAATATCTTTGAAATTTTCAGATTTAAAAAATAATTCTGGTTTTTTATCAATTAATTTATTGCAATGACTTTGAAGTATGCTGAATGATTTATATTTTAATTTATAAAGATCAATTAAATTCTGTTGAATCCATTCTTCTTTTTCAATAATTAAATGATTTTGTATATCTTCAATTAATTCATCAAAGTTTAATTCATCACATGCTTCAAGAAGTCCAAGAATTTCATCTGGATCCAGATTATCAATATTAACAATCCCATTGTATATATATCTTTGAAAAAAAAAATTTTTTTCTTTTTTAATGTTGTTGTTTCAAATAAAAAATATATTATAATTAATTATCTAATTAATGATAAACTTACATTAAAAGAACTTTGAATATTTTTGGAGAAACATTTTCTTTTTCAAACAAAATAATTCCATTATCAGTTCTTTTTGCCCAATTATTTGATAAAGCTGCTTTGAAATAAGCAGATCTTGCTTTTAGAATGTTAGAATGAGCTTTAAAAGTTTCAACATCATCATCTTCTCCAACTTTAATTTCTACATCATAAAAATCTGAACCATTCAACAAGTCAGTTAAATCATTGAAAAGCTTACTAATATGTTTTAATGGTAGAGCATCTTTGTTTGAATCAACAAGTTTTTTAAATAAGTCTTTGATGTTTTCTAAAGATGAAGGACTATTATAAGACATTTTGAATATTATTAAATTACTAAAAATTTATTTGTATCACTTACGAAAGCAACTTTATTTTTGACGTTTTACGAAATGATTAATTTGAGAAATAAATGATCTACGAAAATTCAACTGGTTTAAAAAAAAAAATTTAGTAAACAAGCAAAAGTTGATTAATTAGTGAGTACTAACGAAAGTTAGTGAAGGATTGTCCAAAGGTTAATTGGGAAATACAAAGTGAGTCTTGATTTAGCGGACCTCGATTTAGCGGATGCTAATTAAAAATCTCGGTTTTACGGATAAAGTTCAAAAGAACGGTTCCATAATAAACATTAATAAAAACCTTCTCGATATATTTTTGGAAAATTTCCCTAATTGCCCAAACTATCCGTTAAACCGAGATTTACTGTGTGTACTGTTAGAGTCATTGTATAAGTAGTAATTATAAATGTAAGGCTGTTAAACGAGCTGTTCAAGTTGTTTTGTAAATAAACCAAAGCAAATTGTAATTGTAAATAACTGGATAGATCAGTCATAAGCAAATAAAAAAAATTTATAAAAGCCTTTGAACTTTCTAAAAGAGACACATCTATTTATTACAGTTATTTGGTGCCATTACAAATTTGACGAAGCTTTCTAGGTATATACAAGAAAGAGGCAATAAGTGAAAACCGTAATAAATTTGTAAACAAGCATTGAGTTATTGCGTATTGCTTGAAATTAACTCATAAGAGTAGCCAAGATATCATCAGTCATACTTGTTAAATAATCAGTTTTAACCAAAAGGTTACCTTGCAATGCAATCAACCATCTTTAAGTGCGTCCCCTTTAAATTCACACTGTTCCAAGCTCCAGAATTGGTGATAAATGCACGCCCTTTACTATTACACCCTGCTGCACGGGGTTTTTAATTCCGTATATACAAAATCACCCTCTCTAAATGTATGACCGTGACTTACACGTGATTATCATGTAATAAAAATTGCCAAACAACGCGTTAATAGTTTGGTAAAATAAAAAAAGGCTATTTTGGTGAAATTGTCATTGTATATGCAGTCATGCAGTTTTGATGAGTGGTTTTCTTTATATTTTATTTTCTTTAATACAAAATAGTTATAATAAAAAAGAAACTTACCAATAAAAAGAATAATAAATGTCCTTTCGGAGAAAACAAATTATTATATTAAAAAATCTGATAACATTGATTAGGTGAGTTGTTCTCAATGGAAATGTAGCATTCTTTTGATGGTAATACGTACACGAATTTCAAAATGAGGTACTCGACATCACGTATGTTGTCTAAAAAATATATTCATTTGGCTTTTATTGAAACACCACCATTTAAAATTTTTTTATATACTAGCACAAAAGGAATTCTCGAGCTACCTCGATTTTGGAAAATTGACCAAGTTATATAGGATCCAAGCATCTACAATACAATACCTCCTACAATTTGTTCCTGGTATGTCAAAGACATTCACACCTATGATTAAATTATAATTAATGATTTGCTTTGTTATTGAAAGATTCACTAGGTCTGTGATGATATGATTAATCGTTGTATTTCTGACTTGAAAGCCAAAAATCATTAATTGATTTAGCTGTAAATCATCTAATAGTTAAGTCCTTTTCATGTTTTTATTATTTTCAAAAATTTTGGTTCAGTTAATGACATTTATCAATAAAGAAAATTTCGAGAGTATCAAGAGGCTTTTTAAATTCGTTTCAAACAAAATAATTAATGAGAAATTTTCTTTGGTAAATAATGAGAAGTTCTTCATTATATTGTTTAAATTGGTAGATGATTGATTAGACGTTCTTTTTTTCCAAATAAATCTTTCTGATTATATATTTTCTTACGTTCTCAACTATATTCTCAAATAAAAATAAATTGGATGGAAACACATAGCAATTAGTGTTGGTTTCTAAAAATATGGAGTTTCGCAACTGTGCGAAAATTAAAAAGGTTTCGCCATAAGTCGGAACTAGTTTTTGACGTTTAATTTAGTTTTGACTTAACTTCTTCAAAACAGTTTTGGCAACCAACACTAATAGCAATGTAAAGAAAGCGAAGAAGCTATCAAAAAATATGAATATGTAGAATAAATTATGTGAAATTCAAAAAAGAGATGGACATGACAAATTTTTGATTTTTATGTTAAAAAAGATACACAGAATTATTTAAATCAATAAAATTTATTTATTTGCTATTAAAAAGGTAAATAATAATAATACATAATTGATATTAATGTGGATAACTAGTCATCCATTGATAATTCATCCAACATCATAATTTCTAAAATTAATTTTAAAAAAAATTTAATTTTAGGATATAAAATACAGGGCGCCTTCAAAAATTATTAGATTGAGATTGAGATTGAGATTGATTTCGATCAGAGATTGAGATTGAGATCGAATTTTAATATGAAATTTCAATCTAGGTCAGGTAGTAAGATTGAAAAAATAAACAAAC